AAGATGGTCTGGTCAAAAATCACAATTTTTTCGATAACTCAGCCATTTCTTGACGGATCCTGCTCATCTTCGAACTCGACCGAGACATTGTTAAGACTGAACTGTGTAGAAAATTTCATCGCGATTGGACTCTCCTTTCGAGAGTTATCGTGTAAACGGACGGACGGACGGACACACTGACCGATTTTAGTAGTGTACTCACTTTTTGAGTACACAAAAAACGGTTCATCCACTAGAAAAATCAAGAATATATGATGTTTTCTTTTTGATAAATAACTTTTCGGCTGGCCTGTATATGAACAGAAAGAGATAACGGACATATATGGATTATGCCATAACACTCTGCTTAGTTGACTCTGTATTATTATCTACTGTTCTTTACTAAATTGATTCTACGGACATGATGTTTTAACCTTCCCTTGTCATTTCTTGTTACCATAAGCTTTGTCCTTCCTTCTTTCCTAATTATACATATGCATTGTTAACTATTTTATCGTTTGCCGTGACGAAATTGGTACATCTGTATTCTCTCATAATTACCCTTCTTCTTCTCCCTATCTTTCTTGGTTGCGCATACAAATGCGTGCTTTTGTATGAAACGAAGTAATTAATAATATGAAAAAAAGAGGATAAACTATAACTCCATCTGCATTAATACTTTGTCTGCTGAAAATTGTTACACGTGTTCTTGGTTTTTCAACCAAATATCAAGCGGAATAAATCGATTATGGTACGTGTGATGATGATTGACAAGTTCTATTCGATTTCGTGTCTTTAACAAGCTGCTCGATTTTTCTTCCTAAAGCAACTTGATATTGAAAGAACAATTACCATACATTTTTACTTATGCATATGTGCTATCATAAGAAGCGATGGAATGACGGGAAAGAAGCAGAGAAGAGTAAAAAAGAATGCAACAGTATGCCTTTCGTAAGATACTTGTGTCATAGCACTGTTGCATAAGAATCGTTTATTGCGAAGGAAAGTAATATTTCGGCCATGAGATAATAAAATATATAAGTAACAGAGCTGGGCACATGCAAACCAACAGAAAAGGAAAAATTCATATAGAACATCAACACAAAATATACATATCAAGACGTTTTTAGTTGGTACGTATATTTTTGCTATTCCTCTTATTACATACGAATATAATAAAATGGAACATTTATCTTAAAAGCACCTCGAACATATCAGAAAGGATTTCGACGACCTTTGGATAGTAACAGACTATACTAAAGCGGTACATTTAATTGACTTCGGTAGAAAAGGTTAAATACAAGGAGCGCACGCCTAGAATGATCACGTTCAATGTCAAATAGATTGTGTTATATAGTATTCATTTCTTCTTTCTGTTACTGATATCCCAGTTTAAGCTTAAAATTTCAAGATCATCAGATACTATTAATGAGACACTTCAAATATCACGTTCCAATACCAAAATTGCAGCAGTTTCCGAACTGAAGTTTCCATTCATGCTAACATAGCAGGTTAATAAAACGAATTTTGTCATGTTACTATAAAATACCATCATATGTTTCTGTCGGGCTCATTCCAGTTTTTACTTAACCTGATTTTTAACCCTAAAGCGCCCACCTGGGGTCCGTACGGACCCCAGCTCAAAATAAGAGCTCTGAAGACATGTCTTGTTCTTTTTACGGGTACATATGGGAAGGACGAAAACTTTGCACATTGGTATTACATGGTACTCTTCTTCAGTGTGATATGAATTGCGATGCTAAACGCCTACTATTGAATTTGAATTTCATCCTACCTAGACTGGTAGAATTCGAGTATTTATAGAGGTGGGCGCTTTAGGGTTAAGTGAATATTCTTTTAAAAGTAAAAATTTTGTACAAACCAAGTCTTTCTAATCATCTTTGTACATATGAAAATTCTTCGTTGAACATTTGTTTTCTCTATATAAATTGTATTTATTTGAGGTGCCTATTCTACCTGCAAAATTACAGAATTACTCTGACAAAATTAGTGAACATTAGTGGAACATGAAAAATAATGTATTTCTATGTATATTGCGGCCTTATAGTCTTGCGAAAAACTGTCTAGTTTCGACACATTTAGCATTGACAACGAATCTCTTAATGGATATAATACGGAAAATATACAATTCTTGGTTCTTTATCCTACCAAAGTGTAAAGCATTCAAAAATAAGAGATTTCTAATATTTTTCTTACAGGAAGATATTTTCATACAGTGCTTATATAGCAGAAGAAAAACTGCACAATGCAGTAACG